CCGCTCAATTCATATGGATTAGTATTATGATCTCTTTATAAACTTTTTTGAAGTGTCAAAGTGGTAGTTGCGTAGCTGTCAATGGAGGGACAGAAAGCTCTCAGATTTGATCAAAAGCATCTTCATTTGTGTTCTGAAGACGAATGAAAGTCTTACAAAAGTCTAAATGACATGAGGGTGAGTAATTAATGACAGAATTTTCATTTTTGGGTGAAAAATTCCCTTTAAGTTAGTTTGAGGCTGGATCGTCATTTTTCTATGGCCTATGGAAGTGTGGAGAAATTTGTCTTCAGTTAACTCTTTGTCAGCTAATTGAACTTCAACTTTGATTCCTGATCTTCATTGAGCAAATTGGTCTCTTTATGTGGTTTAACTGTAATTTCCCTACAGTAGACTGTCAATGGACAGAAATCTCTCAGATTTCATTAAAATATCATCAGTTGTGTTCCAAAGATGAACGAAAGTCTTACGGGTTTGGATTGACACGAGGGTGGGTAATTAATAACAACATTTTCATTTTTTGGGTGACTAATCCTTTAATAATGTTCTTCTTCTCACACCACAGCAATGCATATTAGTGAAATAATTACAACAGCATAATGTTCTAAATCACTTGATCTATCATTTATTGCACCTTTCTTTCTTTCTTTCTTTCTTTCTTTCTTTCTTTCTTTCTTTCTTTCTTTCTTTCTTTCTTTCTTTCTTTCTTTCTTTCTTTCTTTCTTTCGTCCTTGGTCTTCATGTGTTGTGAGCATTGCATTTTGAAATCACAGAAGTGGGCTGTGTGTGTGTAAGTGTGCACTGAGAGAAGTGTTTGTGGTCACACTGGCCTCTGCTGACTCATGCAACGTAACTGCTGACTCACTAGCAGGGGAAAAAACACAAAATCCTGAGTCAAATGAAAAAGTGAAAGCAAAAAGGAGGTTTTAAGGGATGGGTGATAAAATGTACAGATGTAGTGCATATGTGAGAACAGAATATATGCACCTACTTTTCAGTTGCTATGGTCAGCAAGCCACTGGTTAAGAATAATTCAATTTTTCAGTTATGGTGCAATTTCCACCACAATAAATAGTTTTGCCAAGGCAAAGTTTTTCCAAAAGTTAGTGTATTTACACAGGGCAGGCAACAGCAATGTCAGGAAAGAGCATGCCTAAAATGAGACGTGAAGTGTGATCAGTGAAGAAAACAAAAGATATTATTTGAAAATGTTCAGATATTGTATTTAGCATACATAAAATGCTGTCTACAAAATTATGAAAATAGGCTACATGTTAACCGGTCAAAAGGGGTCAGTACCATTGTCTTTATTTTTTTCCTTTTTTGTGAAAGAAGGATATTAAATTGATCAAAAGTGACAGTAAACACATTTTTTATTTATAATAACTATTTTTATTTCAAAGAAATGCTGTTCTTTTAAACGTTCTATTCATCAAAGAATCCTAAAAAAAATGTACCACTGTTTCCACCGAAATATTAAGCAGCACAATTTTCAACATCGATAATAATAATAATTAAAGCTGCAAGCAGCGATGAAAGGGCCCTCGCACCCGTGCCACCGCCACCCGGTGGCTTTAGGAAGACAGAGCACGGTGGGCAGTATGTAAATATAGGGGGAATATGTTAAAGTAATTTGCCCCACCCAATTCTGAAACCCACATCACATGTACATTTTCACCACTTCTGAAGTGTGTGCAAAGTTTCATTAGTTTTCGAGCATGTTTAAGCCGGAGGACTATGTCAAAGTCATTTATTTTTATCACACTTCCTGCTACCAGCAGGTGGCGCTATTACAATAATCTAATATGAGGATGGTCATGTGTTCAGGACAGGACTCTTATCACACATGTGAAGTTTGGGGCAGATCGGACATTGTATGCCTGAGTTACTGCAGGCTGTCTGTGGTTGCCTAGCAACATCGGAACTGCATCATTTACACAGAAGTTATCTGATGATGCATATTTCACCCAGAGGCTGAAATTGGATTTGCACATCTACATTTTTGTCAGGCCGCCGAGGTCACATCCTTCGACGAAAACTCTAGATCTTCGCAATTTAACGTCGCAAAGGCCTTAAGATTAGACTGACAAAATATTATGTGGATCTGATTTAATCTCTAGGAGGAGTTCGTTAAAGTACAACATCAGGAAATTACGAAAAATGCACAAAATCTAGGAGGAAGTTCAAAATAGCTCACTTCCTGTTGTGTTTAGGGCTATGCTCCAAGAGACTTTTTTGTAGGTATTGGGTCATTACATGTATGTACCAAATTTCATACCTGTACGTGAAACGTAGAGCCGGGGCAAAATCTGGGGGCAATAATTTACCGAATTTGCCCCACCCAATTTTGAAAACCATATCACACGTAAATTTTCACCACTTCTGAAGCGTGTGCCTCTCACCATCGGTGCTCGGGCCCTAATAATAAACAGAGCAAAAACAATAGGGTCCTCTCACCATCGGTGCTCGGGCCCTAAATATTTCTGAGCACCTAATCAGCATTTTAGGAATGATTTCTGAAGGATCATGTGACACTAAAGACTGAAGTTATTACTAATTATGCTGAACATTCAGCTTTGCCATCACAGGAATAAATGACATTTTTAAATATATTCAAATAGAAAACAGTTATTTTAACTCATAATAATATTTCACAATATTACGGTATAATTGGTGTGCACAAAACACTCAAAAACATTAACAAATCTTACTAACTGCAAACTTTTGAACGGTATTGTATGTGAAAATCATCAGATATTTTTTGTAAAAGGTTTCCAAGGCAAATAAAAAAATCCCTGAGACATAACAATACCTGGAGTTGAAATAAAAGTGAGAACAACCTTGCCAGTTTCGCTCAACTGGCTCAAATGTGAGAGGGTTGGCTCTGGAAGACAGAGTAGCAATGTAATTGGCACCAGCTGATGAGTGTCTTTGAGAATGTGTTGCCCAGTTCACCGTATTTTTCACACACACCCACACATTCTTCCCTCTGGAGCTTTTAGTCAAAAACACTAAAGCAGGAGCATGATATACAGACAGCCTGTTTAAGCCTGTGGCACAGAAGCAGGTCACTGGAGATGAGATGAGAACAGCTGGCACACAGATATCCCTCCAGGGGTCCAGGAGTCACACTGAGAAGCATAAGGAGTTACGTGGCTGGGAAAATGCCATCATGTTTTTTTTTTTTTTTACTCAATGTGAAATTCTCTCTGAGCTTTTGTGCTCCTGTCACATCATCTTTGAGTGTGTGCTGTTCTTGTCTTGTCAGCTACTGTAGAGTTCATGATGTTTCATTAACAAAGTTCGGGAGGAGCACGTTCAAATAATCTATCCAATCAACTCGTCATCAGCAATTACCACATCCACGTCTATCCTATCAGCATTTGATAAGAATTTGATAGAATTTGATTTCAACAGAAATATATAGTGTTAATCATAATATGGTGTAGGCCTATAAAATACCTTGGCATTACCATCCAGTTCCACCATTCTACCACAGTACCACCACAAACCATTTTCAATAGTTTTAGTTAACAATATCAACACTGGAATATACCATCCCAGACAGCAAGATAGTGTCGGCCCATATCCGGCCCACATCTAGGCGTGTGGAATCCACATGTACCAGATATGGGGTGGATTTGGCCAGACTATTTGTTGCTGTATGGTGGATACCATAGAGGCAAAAGCTACCTCATATCTCAAAGCACATAACATTACAATATAATGAACAAAAAAAACAACATAAAGAACACTGACCTGTACCTCCTGACTGCTGCGGGTTCATTTCAGTGTTGATAGTGTTGCCATTGAAACACATACATTTCCATAAAACTCTGAGTGACGTCACAGGTTTCCATCTTCCAAATGTTATGACGTGAACGCGCAGCATAAGCTTGTTGTTTTGATTCAGGGGGAACTGTAAAAGGTGGCTGCTGTTTTGGTGCTCGGTGACTGACGTCTGTCTAACTGCATAGCATGAAACGCGCTGAAGACGCTGATGTTTGTGTGAGCAGGGTGTGCGGCGGTATGAAAATACATATGTTGACAGGCAGACATCGTATCATTGCATTCGGACCGGCCACTCGTACTCCCATACCTGATTTATATTTTACAGTCACTGTTTTGCGTACACAATTTCAATTTGAAAATCGCTAGTAGTAAACAGCCTGTTTTCATTAGAAGCTCGGCCCCTCTCTCCCAAAACTCATAATCTAGCACAGTTGTATAGTTGGTAGAATGAAAAATACTTCAATACAAGCATTTCAATCAAATACAGTCTATACAATATGTTAAACCGCGGGGAAAAATCTACCCGCGGCAAAAGTTTAAAAGTACCGGTAGCTCAGTTCCGTGGGAAAACGTGAACTTGGCAACCCTGGTCATCAAAGTACTTCTCCCTAGTCAATTCTGCATGTTTTACTTGTGAAATTGATCATGTTTTCAAATTCTCTATAAATGAATGAACAGAGTTAACTCTAATGGAAAAGAGTGAGATGCAGAGGATGCATGCCAACCAAGCTTTTTAAATTCTTTTTTAAAATTCGTTTTGATTTATGCAAATACTTTTTCTTCACTTGTCCAGAGTCTGACACTCTTTTGCCCACTAGTGGTTGAATATAAAATGTCAAGCGCTGCTGGTAAATGCATCATCAGAAGTTTAGCTTGACCTTGATGAAGTTTTTTTTATTTTATTTTTTATATTAATTCCGCATCTCATTTACTTGCATTTAAGAGAGAAGACAGAGGGAGAGGGGGAGGCTGTTGTGGGTGATTTACACGGGTTACGCGTGTAACAGGATCACAGCAGCTGTTGCATAAGAACCTTGAAAGATTCCTTGCTGGCGAACACACACTCCTCTCTCAGAAGAGAGACTTTCCATGCCATAAGCAGTAAGCACTAATAAATCAGCAATATCACTGAGTGAAGCAACAACTGAGTTATTTATGCGTTAGAATCTGTATGTGAAAACTCCAAATAATGCTGGAGCAGAAGAACAACAAGTAAACAAGTGTTTTATTGGTCAAACACAAAGTAACCCAAATCTTTACATGTTGAGCTGAACATTTAGACTCTGGAAATCATCCAAAACCCTCATTCATAAATTAAGGCACTGAGCTAATCATATTAAATAACGTATTATTTTAGGTTTATTTATATGAGCCATTCAATACAGTATTTAACTAGAGTAACCATTTGATGAGTGTAAAACATGGGATGCACTAAAATAATAAACAGGAAGTCAAAGAAATATTCCATTCACACACATCTGCTTTTCAGGATATTCAGTAAAATAACAAAGCATATTTGCTCTGATATTATGCTATTTTATCTCCAACTGTGTAACGATGACCACTTAGTGCTCTGAGAATCTTGACATACATTACCATCACTAAAACGGTGAAACTAAAGTGCGTATCAGGAATCTGTGCGGCTGCTTCCATCGCAGGTGTCCTGTTCACAGTATAACACTTTATTTAAGTTTAAGGCTGTTTCAACATGTAAATCCAGCACAACCGTCCATTTACAGTATAACATTAAACCATGTTTAGTTGTTTGAAATTTGCTCAATGCATTAGATAGTTCTAGATCAGTCTCTCAGGCCTGGTATAAAGGCACGACTCGTTGGATGTTCTGTCTGCAGATGGGACAGTTGGGTTGTGGCAAGGCCTGATAGCAGCGGAAACAGCAGCACACGTGACCGCAGTCCAGCAGCACGCAGCTTCGTGGATTACTCAGGCATATCACACACGCATTCTCCGGAATATCCATGCCGTTCTCCTCCTCCCCTCTTTCTCCCATCAGTTCAAAGTCCCTCCTCATGTTCTCTTGCTCCCAGCGCAGCTTGAGTTGCTGGTAGTACCTGCGTCCCGCCCACATCAGCACGGCTACACCCGCCAATGCGCAAATACACGCCAGCACCCTCCACACCTCCGCCTGCCCTTCCTGCTCCCGCAGCAGAGTCTCAAAGTCCGAAGTGCACAGGAAGTACTCGGAGCCGTCGGTGGGTGGGCGGAGTTTAGGGAGGCGGTCCGTGTCCAGGATGAGCTCGCCCACTGCGGTTAAGGATGCGCCCACCTTCAGCATCTCCTCTGTTTCAAGTTGACCTTTGGGCTTCTCTCCGCTCAGGTACTGACCTATCAGGTCCGTGAAGCCATAACTGGCCTGGTGGAACTTCTCGTGGGTGATTTCCATGTTGGGACCCGTGGCCTCCAGGGGGCAGAGCACCCGCACAAACGCCTTGTTCACACCCAGCAGGTTAAAAGGCACAGCATTCACGCGCTGGTGAATCAAACGCTCGCTGTCTGTCCTGAAGGATGAGATTTGTGTTTGAGAATTGCCATGTTAGACTGACGTATATAACACTCGTTCATAAGTTTGGGGTCGGTACGATTTTTAAAATGTTTTTGAAAGAAGTCTCTTATGCTCACCAAGGCTGTATTTATTTGATCACAAAATACAGTGAGACTGTAATATTGTGAAATATTATTAGAATTTAAAATAACTGTTTTCTATTTTAATATGTAATAAAATGTAATTTATTCCTGTGATGCAAAGTAGAATTTTCAGCATCATTACTCCAGTCTTCAGTGTCACATGATCCTTCAGAAATCATTCTAATATGCTGATTCAGTGCTAAAAAAACATTTATTTTTATTATAAATATTGAAAACAGTTATGATGCTTAATTTTTTGTGAAAAACTGGACTTTTTTCAGGATTCTATGATCTTTAAATAATTTGTTAACATTATAAATGCCTTTACTGTACTTTTGATGCATCCTTGCTGAATAAAAGGATTAATTTGTTTTTATAAAAGATACATCTAAAACCTTGCTGACCCCAAACCTTTGATCGGTGATGTATATTTATAACAGCAAGAGACCAGGTTTTACCAGGTGCGCGCTAAACTGTTCCACACAAGCTTGTGTTCTCGGAGGAGCAGTTTCTGGATGACACCAACACTGCCTTCTTGAAACTGACTCCTTAATGGTTCCCCTACAGGCTGAACTGTACCTACAGAGAAAGAAAGACAGAAAGCAAATCAGTGGAATTGAAAGAGAAACAAAGTTATCTTCTTCACATCAGCTGAGACTCATGGTGAAAAATATAGGTTACCCTCGATGACCACATACTGCAGACATTTCCCCGGTGAGGCATTTAAAAGATCTGTTAACTTCTCATCCAGTGGCAGAACTGGAGCTTCCTAACATTAAAAAACAAATGAGTTTTTTTTAGGAACTATATTTCTATTTCTCATACTCTTTCACTTCCTGTAGCACACTTTTAATCCAAATCACTAATTACATATACTATCTGGCTTCAATACAAAATTAAGCTTCATTAACAGTATTGTGATCCTATCTATCTATCTCTATCTATCTATCTATCTATCTATCTATCTATCTATCTATCTATCTATCTATCTATCTATCTATCTATCTGTTATTTGAGTTACAAAGCTGTCTTGATTATCATTATTGCATTGCTACTCAGTACTCACGTTAAGCTTGCCCACAGTTTTGCTTTTCTTCCTGTAGATGTAATAAAACAGACCAGAGAGAGCTACACTTGAACCCAAACACACAATCTCCAGTGTCCGGATGGGGAAATCCTCCATCTTCCACCTCGCCCTCTTCCTCTTCCTCTTCTCTAGACTACTGAACACAGTCAAATAATAGTGAACAGATGTAAGCATCAAGATGAATAAAAATATTAATGCTGATTTGATTATGGATTCATTTTCTGGTGGTTGTTAGGCATTGACAGGGTGTTCTGGCTGTCATTGATGGATGGATAAATAAAAAAAAGGAATAATGAGAGAGACTTCAGAGAGCCTTGTATGTCTATGTTTACATTAGAATTGACGGACCCCACCATATACCATTTCGGAACTATAGTCATCCCTGATTGGTCTTAACCCTAGTGACGGGTAGGTTTAGGGGCGGGGTTAGGGGTAGGCCATCGTCCCTGATTGGTCTTAACCCCAGTGACGGGGAGGTTTAGGGGCGGGGTTAGGGGTAGGCCATCGTGGGGTCCGGATAACAGGAAAGTACCGAATTGACAGTTGCGCCTGTTAAACATTCCAACAATGTAAGTCCATGGGAATTTGGGGTGTTTTTTTTTTTAAATCGTCGATAAAACCGACATAAAAACACTTCCACACCTCCACAATAATATTAACATAACAATAACAACAGTTCTCCAAACATGGTGAATCATTTGTTGGCTGTCAAAATGAAATGTGTGACCCATAAATGACCTTTAAAGAATTTAATCCAATGCTTTGACCACTATTACATATGTACATGCTCATAAACAAATATTAAAGTTCTATCTGAAACAACAGAAATGAACATGGCGTGAATAAGGAGCAGAACATCACCTTTATCACTCACACGATCCTCCTGAAGTCATTACCGGAAACGATGTTGTTTGGATCACGTGGTACGTCAACGTGGGTAGCTGTGAAATTTGCCTGACTGAATCTGGTGACACAACTTTACGCAGCCAAACACATTTGAACATATACTTGATGTTATAATTATAAGTTTGTTGTTTATTGGTTTGTCCTCTGCAGCTTTCCTTTAATAGAAATTGCATTGGAATGTCATTTAAATATTTTAAGCGAACATAATTAAAAAATAAGTTTAAATAAATATATTTGTATACATATAAATACATATATTGACCATACATAAATAAATAAATAAATAAAAACAACATATATAGGTTTTTTTTAATGGCATTTTTTTGCTGCCTTAGTGACTTTTAATTTGCAAATCAGTATTTCCGATTTCGACACGCGTTTGTTGAAATCGCTGACGCTGACTTCACCAAGGCGGCCAACATGGCAGCAGGAAAGAAAAAATCATCTAACGTTACTCTTCCATCAAGATTTAAAAAAACGCTTTCCTCCATATGGCAGGACAAACACATGGTGTTGTTCAAAGCAGAGTACACGTTCTTGATCACGGCCGTACTTTGGCTCCTGGAAATTGTGATTAACATATGGGTGATCCAAAGAGTTGCATGTAAGTGCATTAAAAATCAATCACTGACATGATCTTTGAATAATTATAATAGTCAACAATTCATTGAGGGAACTGCAGACTAAAGAAACAGAGCATCATTCTATTCTGCATAATCTCTTTGTATTCAAATAGGATACTGTACTAGTGCATGCTGTTAATGCAATTGTTTATTAGTTTATTTCTGAACAGTTACATTTACGTTCCAAACTTCCACTATAAAATGTATTAAATTAGTGTTGTTTATTTCGGAAGGGAGCACGTGAAGTGACGAGAGAGCTCGAGTCACGCGCACCATAAAGCCAAAATGACTGAACACAGCAAAGTAATGCCGCTTAAAAGACAAGTGCTATCCTGATTCCTCTGTCTAATGATGTAAATGTTGTGTGTGTAGATACAGAGATTGACTGGAAGGCGTACATGGATGAGGTGGAGGGCGTTATTAACGGCACATATGACTACACACAGCTGAAGGGCGACACGGGACCGCTGGTGTAAGTGTCAACATAAATATAGCTATACCATAAGAGTTGGAAAAATATTATGGCAAAGTTATGTAATTTATACATGCTATATATTTAATACATTCTCATTTTGTTTCCCACTACAGATAACAATATATTAATATGTCGAATTCCAAAAATTCAGCATATTTCACAATTGTTCAGAATGGCAATAAAGGGATAGTTCACCCAAAAATGATAATTCTGTCATCTACTCGCCCTGAAGTTGTTCCAAACCTGTATGAATTTTTTTCTTCTGCTGAAAAATTATATTTTATAGAGTGTCAGTAACCAAACAATTGATGTAAGTTACCCCATTGACTTCCATATTATATTTCCATATTATTGAAGTCAATTGGGCATATCAATTGGTTTTGTTATGGACATTCTTCAAAATATCTTCTTTGTGTTCAGCAGAAGAAAGAAATTAATCAGGTTTGGAACAACTTCAGGGTGAGTAGATGACAGAATTTACATTTTTGGATGAACTATTTCTTTAATGAGGCTAGAATACACTACGCAACTTTTAAAATCTGAATAGATTTTAAAACACTTGGCATGAAACGATTTGGCCGACTTTAAATGTTTACAGAAGAAAAACTGGGCATCATACATACACTAAACAACTGAGAATTACACACTACAAGGCTTTCAAGTAGATCCAAACTCATGTAGAAACATGTGCCTTATAGCTAGGAGATGCGTGGGAATTTGGGAAATGAAAACAATGGGTCTCATTCATGAAACATTCGTAAATATGCGAGTGATTTGCGCGTAGAGACCTTCCCGAAAACTCTTCTCCTGATTCACAAATACTTCGTAAACGTCAGATGTGATAGTGAAATGTGTGTGTGTTAATGAATTCCAATCAGTCGTAAATGGGATGCGCGTGCACGTTCATTCTCAATTACCATAAATCCCGCCCATTAAATCCGACTGACAACTATATATGGGCATCATATTATGACATGAATGCAAAAAAAAAATTTCTCAGATGCAGAAATTGAAGTTTTATTATCAGAAGTTCATTCAAAACGCCACATTTTATTTTCAAGCGTACATAGTGGCGTATCGGGTCCTAAAAAAAAGGAAGCTTGGCAGGATATTACAGATGCAGTTAATGGAGTTTCATCTGTTAATCGAACATTCCCAGAAGTGAGAAGAAAATGGTTCGACATTAAGCTTGAGAGCAAAAAACGAATTAGTTCACTTCGGAAAAATAGTATTCAAACTGGAGAAGGACCACCATCGCAGATGCTATTACTGGCTCTCATAATAAGAAAAACTGTATGTAATTACTATATATAATATTTTTTCAAAATGCTGTGCAAATATGTACCCGATTAAGGTGAATTAAAATGCAGCCTTATTAATGAGCAAAACGTTTGGGTGTTAAGCGCACTATTTACGCGTGGCTGGGAGCAGGTGTAGATTTCTTGTGTACCAACTAACATTTGGAAAATACGAAAATTTTAATGAATCCGAAAATTTACGCCAGAACCACTTTACACACGATTTACACAAAAATTCGTTCTGCTAGTGTTTCATGAATGAGACCCAATGTGTTTCTAGCCTGGGAAAACCCAGACAACTTCCGGCAAATTTAGATTTGCTCTGAAAGTGAGTCTGGCAAAGAGCTCATTCAAGCTCATTTCCAATCCGTCGAAATCGAGGCACCAATCAGAAACGTTGGCTTTACACGATGACGACAGCGCTGGGATTTTGAAGCAGATTTTGTAGCCTACATTACAAAGATGGATGCCGCCGTCGAACATCACTCGTTCAAATCAGCTATAAGCGATTTGAACGTTTCCTTTTAGTTAAAAACCGAGCAAAGAACAACACACGGAGATGTTTCTCCGCCGCTCTGCATACGTCTTCTCCTTCATCGCTCTGATTGGTTTTAGGTCTATCCGCGACGTCCGTTGGTGACGCCCCTCTGGAAATGATTTGTCTATAACGCTTTGCCAGACCATAACTCAGTTACAACTGAGAATGGTCTGGTTTTAACCAGGCTAATGTGTTTCTAAAATCACTTCAAAATATTGAACATGTTTGTTATCGTCCGACTGTGCCCATCATATACTAGATGATTTTCTGCAAAATCTGTCAACTCTGACTGACCAAAATCTGCAAGACTGGCTTTGACTTTCAGGAACTAGCATTGACTCGGGGCAAAAGTCATGTAGTGTATTCCAGCCTTTAGATGTCCAGTAGTCTACTTGTTCTTGTACACCTCTGGGAATGACATATTAAATGGAAACCTTTCCACTGATCATTTGCTGGATTGTATGTATTTGTGTTTCAGGTATCCAGCCGGTTTTGTGTATATATTCACAGGGCTGTATTATCTTACTGATCATGGACAGAATATTCGTTTGGGTCAGTACGTGTTCGCTGTGTTCTACCTCATCACTCTCCTTCTTGTGTTCCGCATTTACCATCACACCAAAAAGGTAAGAAGAACCCCATATTAAACAAATCCATGTAATTTACCATTATGCATAATTCTATCCAGTCATCTTTTCTTCTTTTTTTTTTTTTACCCAAGAATAGCCAGGATATTTTCACATTGAATTTGAAGTGTACATGCTACCATTCAAATGTTTGGTGTCAGTAAGATTTCTAGTTTGAAAGAAATGAATGCAACACCATAACTAAACAAATTTTGCAAGACTTGAACCTCTGAATTCAAGCATAAGCAACTACTCATTACCACTTAAAATGATAAAAACCTTACTAATATTTCAATACATTGCTGATTTCTAGTTTATTATGATTTTTTGAAATTTACAGAAGATTGCTTTCATTGTTCTGAATTTGTCTGTCTTATTAAGTGCTTGTACGTTTATTCTTCTCTAGGTTCCTCCCTATGTGTTCTTCTTCATCTGCTGTGCTTCGTATCGGATTCACTCCATCTTCATCTTGCGTCTCTTTAATGATCCGGTGGCCATGATGCTGTTATTTGGAGCCATCAATCTCTTCCTGGACGGCCGCTGGACTCTAGGATGTGCCCTTTACAGGCAAGTAGAAACAACTTCTTCATTCTACATAGTATTTTTTTTTTTTTTTTTTTTTTTAAGTTGTCAGTCAATGGCAGCATTTTTGTATGTAACTGAACATGCAGTGTATCACAGGAAAGAACAGAGCTTCTGCTTTTTAACAAAACAAAAAAAGCTGAGAAAATCGCGTTTTTGTCAGAGACTACGCCTGGATCAGATTCAGAACGATGATCAAAAGATAGATGGAGTAAATCACTTCCATCAACACCCCAAAGCTTCACAGTCCTAAATCTCGTCCTGGGTCGACATTTCATTCTGTAACATTAGGCAGTTTTGATTTATATGCTGTTTAATGTTTGATGAACACGTATTTTACATTTGCATAAGCAATGCTTCTATCACTTATCTCTGCTTCTTTTTCACCTGTGTTTTGATCCGGAGATTCTGTACTTGTTCAGATGATGTGTAATAGCGCCCCCTACCATATAACAGTGAAAACATGTATTGCAGGAAATTTTTGTCAATGGCGGAGAGTTAAAATGCTACATGTCATGTGTGTAACATGGCTGTTTGCATCAGTAAAAGGTCTGCAAAGTTAAAAAAATCGAAGTGCACAATAAATGGAGTTATTTTCTCCTAAAAGAAAGAACCGATTCTGAACTGCCTGAAAGGCAGTAAGTAAGTAGTAGGTGATGCTGCAATGTACATTATGAGAAAATTAAACTGTTTTTTGACCTTGAATACATGTAAACCGATTGTAGGAGACCTCCAAAACAAAATTAGGAGCCTTTAAAATTGCATAATGGGTGACACTTTAACATTAACTCCTGTTTTCCACTACTGCTATTACAATATTTTGATGCCTGATCAAAACTACAGACGAATAATTATTGTTTAATATATGACTCGTCATTTCAGTGATGTGTGTGCATTTAAAGTAAATATTTCTCTGTTCTATGGACAGTTTAGCTGTGTCTGTGAAGATGAACGTTCTGCTCTTCGCTCCTGGTCTCCTCTTCCTTCTCTTGAGTGAGTTCGGTCTATGGAAAACTTTACCCAAGCTCACTCTCTGTGCTGTCATTCAGGTTAGACACACATAAGTAAACACATTCACTTATTTATTAAGTGATTCAAATGTCTTTTTGCCGTTTCACACCAACTTTTCATGTACCACTCTTTTTCTCCCTTTCTAACAGCTGTTACTGGGACTGCCGTTCCTCTTGGTGAACCCTCTCGGGTATGTTAGCCGGGCCTTTGACCTGGGCAGGCAGTTTCTGTTTAAGTGGACCGTGAACTGGCGTTTTCTTCCCGAGGATGTGTTTTTGAGTCGATACTTCCACCTAGTGCTGCTTTTTGCTCACATTACCACATTGCTTCTGTTTGCACTGAAGAGATGGAAGAGGTACGAAAAATCAAGGTCACACTTTACATTAGGTGGATAGTTCACCCAAAAAATGAAAATTCTGTCATCATTTACTCGCCCCCCAAGTTGTCCCAAACCTTTATGAATTTCTTTCTTCTGCTGAACACAAAAGAAGATATTTTGTAGAATGTTGGTAACCAAACCGTTGATTGGCCCCATAGTATTTTCCCCTCATGATTTGTTGAACAAAATCATTATTAGAAGTCTAAGGTCAATATTAAGGCTTTTTAGTAAACTAAATATGCTACAGGTCTGGGAATATGGTTTAAATGAACTGACTGCATCGATTAAAAAAATTTGTGTTCATTACAGGTCTGGAAACAGTATTTGGTCTCTTCTAAAAGATCCATCTGAGAGAAAAGAGACTGCACACAAGCTCGATGCTGATCATATCCTTTTTATGGTTGATTAAATCAAACATATGATTGATTTGTTTAAAATAGTTTGAATATCCCAGGTATTCCTGAAACTTGAATAATTAGACCTAGTTGATAAGATGAAAACCGATCCTTAACCCAGATCTTACAGACAGTTCTGGTTTTGTTCACCTCTAACTTTATCGGCATGTGCTTCAGTAGATCTCTGCATTATCAGTTTTATGTCTGGTACTTCCATACGCTCCCCTACCTTCTGTGGAGTGGAGGAGTCAAGAAGCTTGCCCACCTTCTCAGGTACATACACAGACATGTTCATATGTGTTATTTTTTCCTCATAGAACTTTTAAGTTGTTTGTTCTTGTGTTTGTATATACTCTGATGAGCCAAAACATTATGACCAGTCACAGGTGAAGCAAATAGTGTTGATCATCTCCTAACAAGGCCACATATTGTCTGGGTAAATGAAATGTTAAGCAAACACTCAGTTCTCGTAATCAACGTGTTGGATGCAGGAGAAATGGGCAGGAATAAATATCTGAGTGACTTTGAACAGGGCCAAATTGTTATGTCGTCAAGGCTTTTGGTGATAGGCTGAGAATCCCTGGGTCCGGCCATTCACCTGGATGTAAATTTGACACGTACCACCTACCTAAATATTGTTGCAGATTTGTTATTGTTAGTTCATAATACCTCATGTATTAACTAATGTTAATGTATAGAACCTTATTGTAAATATTATTGTTATCAAACTTTGTCACACACAACTCATCCCTATATATTTCACTCTCTTTTAGTGTGTTGATTTTGGGTCTGATAGAGCTGTCCTGGAACACGTATCCGTCCACCAACTACAGCTCTCTATCGCTGCATGTCTGCCATCTCATCATCCTGCTCTGTTTGTGGCTCAACCCAACCCCAGCTCTTCCGTCTCAGAGGTCAGAGAACAAGGCTAAGCGCCACTGAACCCTGGTGTGACCGGGGCACTCGCTGTACCGGAGTGACATACGGGTGGCCAGGGACCTGTGCCCTGAGTGTGATCAAATCGTATCAAGGGGATTTGTTAATGGAGGTAGTGTGATGTTAATATATGGGGGTACAGAGAGTTTACAATGCTTCTCAGGATTCTTAAGGACTAATGGAGTGCTCTGTCTGGGATGTCGGAGCTGGAAATGTGAATGTTGTGTGGATCTTTATTGGAAGTATAATATAAAAAATATAAAATGAGTATGCAGCATATCAACACTGTTGACCTTTGAGACCTTAATGATCTCTTGTTGTCACCCTTGGATGCATTATAACCAGGTACAAGGGCCTAAAGATGTTATATATATATATATACTATATATAACAAAATATCTGCATTTCAACTGTGACATTAAATTTATTAAATTATGTATCAAATATGAATTCAATTAAAGTGAATTCATAATTATACCTTTATTCAAAGCTATTCAGGGATTTGTCTCCATGTAAAGTTAAACCAAAAAAAAAAAATGAAAAATGTGTTATTTACTCACCCTCATGTAGTTCCAGAACCTGTATGCATTTCTTTCTTCTGTGGGGAAAAAAAACTTTGGGCCCATTGGATTACATTTTATGGACAAAAAAAAAATCTTTTGTGTTCTGCAGAAGAAATAAAGGGTGAGGGTGAGTAAATGATGACAGAAGTGTAATTTTTGATGAAATATCCCTTTAACTGTTTTCCAACCATGCAGAGTTGTGACTGTAAGCTCAACAGGATCACATCCACTAGTTACATGTATAGGGCACAAAGGAACAGCATAGATCTGCTTTTCCATTTCTTTTTAGTTTAAGGCAACCATAAACCTCCAGTAGTGCCTGTGTTTGTTTACTGTCTTGAGCCTTTTTCATTATTTTGTGTTCTTTATGTTTTTTTTTTCTTTTCTAGAGTGAACAGTTAGATGGAGTGCTGAAATGCTTAACATTTTGGGTGTGATTTACATTTTTCTGTGATGAAGAGTGAATGAGTGTTCTTATAAACATCTGTTTGCAGTTGTTTTTTTTATTTTCTTTGCATGAAATACATTTGCTTAATCCAAAGTGTTATCGCTAATCACAATGCAACTGTAGTCCGTGATATTATTCCATTTCCAAGGTTAATGACAGGCTCACAGCTACAAAAGTCTGGGCAAAACCAGGTTGAAGGTACAGTGAACGAATACAGCCCTTACTGTTTGAAATTATACTTGTATCTTAACCTGAAGAAGCATCATTTGGTATCATTCAGAGCATTTTATTGTATAGATTTGTAAGTGATACAAAATAAAAAGTCATAATTTCATAACATTCATTGTATCTCTAATATACTACCATAGTTATCATCCCTTTTTTGCACATGAAAAAATATAGCCCCATGGTTTGCACATTGTTTATGTGGTGTTACCAGAAAACTAACTTTGAAGGAACAAACGAAATGCCTTCATCGAAAATACTTCAAGAAGACTAAAAGCAAGCAGTCGATATAAACAAACAAATGATCCTAAGAAAATGGAATTTACCAATAATTTGACAATCAGTCATTGAAAGAAAAAGGTGGTTTGGAATTGTCCAGTTTAGTCTAAAACTTGATTTAAAAAAACAAACAAACAGATTTATCAGATTCAAGCAGCTGTACACTACCGTTCGAAATTTGGGGTAGGTAAGAAATTTGGGGAAAAGTCTCTTATGTTCACCTAGACTGCATTTATTTGATCAAAAATACAGTAATATTGTGAAATATTACAAATTAAAATTACGTCTTTTTTATATATATTTATATATTAACATGTAATTTATTCCTGTGATTAGTAAAGCTGAATTTTCGGCATTATTACATGCTGAATTGGTGCTCAAGAAACAGTTCTTATTATTATCAGTATTGAAAACAGTTGTGCTGCTTCATATTTGTTTAAAAACTGATGCATTTTTTTTTTAGGATTGATGGATTGAAAGCAAAAGAACAGCATTGATTTGAAATTGAAACATTTTGTAACGTTGTAAATGTCTTTACCGTCACTTTTGATCAATTTGATGCATCCTTGCTGAATAAAAGTATTACATTTAAAAAAAAATAAAAAAAAATCTTACTGACTTCTGAATGGTAGTGTAAATTAAGGCAAGAATGCCTGCTGTTTATGTTGGAGATTGGTTTTATAAAGCATTCAAAACTAGTCATTTTGCTATTGCTAGCATAAAGTGCTGTCAGACCTGCAGTTGATTACGGTGAACTACATTCTACTGCATAATTATACTGACGCCCATAGATTAAGGGAAAGCTTGTACAGTATTGTGGTCTGGGCATGAGAGAAACCGAAACACAACCCACAATTCAGCTTTATCTCCGTTCCTTTTTAAAGGACATCTTAGATGAATTCTATTCTGCTATAAAGTTGAATTGCGAGTCTAGCCAACAGGATTAATTCCCTGGTTTAAATTCAATTAAAGACCCAAGAACTTCATCTTTGAGGTCAGCTCCTCACATGTTATTGGGGTTGTAGCAGAGCACGTTCAGTTTGATATTTTCGTCCCAGTGACGCAACAGCAGAAAAAGCTGCCTGGCCGCTGCCCTCAACCCTACCATGTCAACGCCCTCTGGCAGCGATTGACACTTCAGCCAGAAATCTGCCTTGGCAGCCACCAATTCCCACTCCACAAAGAACCCAGCGCAGCGGTGCTCCAGCCAGGCCAGAGCTACCGCCGTGGCCCAACTGGAGCTTTCGACATCCATCTGCTCCAGTTTCTCTCCGTGAGGATCTGCAGGATCCAACGGAGGACCTTCACACGTGTCAGCCTCAGAGCCCCGCCCACTATCAACCTGTGGGACTCCACCCATCAATTTTGGAGAACCCTCCTCCAAAGGGTTGGGCCATGACTCTTGCATGTGTCTCGCTGAAGCGGTGGCGGGTGGTGAGGTACAATGGAAAGGAGGGCTCAGACTGCTGCGGTGGCTCAGGTACGGGGACGCTCTTTTTAGGCGGTCCAGAGGGATCTGGATGCACTCGGAGTACGATTCGGACAGCAGAAACGCACCGGACGCCAACTGAAGGCGTACCTGTGGGGACACGAGAAGTAAAGTGAGTGACACTGGCTTTACATTGAGTAGTTCTGTAATCAGTATGCAGTGCTGGGTAGTAACTGATTACATGTAATCTGGATTACAAAAATAATTTAAATATGTACTTGTAATTAGATTATATTACGTTTTAAAATGCGAATAATCAGATTACAGTTACTTTTTTATGATTACATGATTATATATTCACATAATGGCAGTAAATAATTCAATTATTTTTTTAATTTATTTTCTAAAAAATCCTATTGTGTCATAGCATTTAGCTTTGACTATATTCACAATATAGAATGGTCATGTAAATTAATTTGCGATCTAAATGCTTCTAAATTTGGGGACAAAAGCACCTCTCAATCTGTTAAACAATGCCAATGTACTGTACGGCTATAAAATACTATGCCATCATCATATCCAGTGACCTTCACTAATTGATTCCGGAAGTCTGGACAAAAATATTTAAAACCCGGCAGACTTTGGCCATGTAATTCATCACTCTTTATCTTTATAAATGTTTGTTCATATAATGCAGGTATTCCCAAACTTTTTTGTCAGCTGAACCTAAAATATTTACTTGAAGTCACTTAAAGTTAACATTGAATAAGTTAACAACACATTTGCATGTTTGCATTTCACTGATGTTGGTTATTGGTCATGCAGGTAAACAAATAAAATATTTATATTTTTACTATTCAAGTGTTTTATTTTGATTTGTTTTGATGTTTTGAATTATAATTGTACTTATTTATGATTTAATTATTCAAAATATGATTTAATATTTGATTTAATTTGATATGATTTAATTACTATTAATCAAAATGGTACACAATCCCATTCAAATCTGTTATCTGAGTTAGGTCAAATGTAATCGGAAAGTAGTCTGATTAGATTACTTGAGATCAGTAATCTAATAGATTCCATTACTAACTAAAATGTTCATAATGTAATTTGTAATCCTTAATGGTTTACAATTTGTAAGTAATCTGCCTAGCACACAATATGCAATTACACCAACCAATGGCAAGTAGTCAGGCTTGTCTCTCTCTATGTGTCTGTCGGTCTCTGCAGAGAAACAGTGAGGTTTGAGAGGAGCTTGTTTTCCATTATTGCCCTTTAGTCTTCCCAGATTGAACCTGAAGAGAATATAATGAAATTCAGTGTGATAGCATAATAAAGTATAAATCATTACAATTTGTGATACTTATGCAGACTTGGAGCCGAAGAAGCTCTCCACAGAGCGCTGAGAGCGAGACGACACCGCTGATGGACTGACGCTCCCTCCTGTGCCTGAAAGACATTTCACCAAAATTTCGCTAATGTGACCGCACCTTAATTCCATCCTTTTTTTCTCATACTGTATACTCACTGCTATCCCAGGATGTCATGCTACAAGGGGATGCAGGTGTGTCGTCTCTGTCTGGGTCCAAGAAAACAGAATAGAAAGTCAGAGTTGCACTGCACAGAACGCAAAGACATTTTTTTTTATAGCCTCATGGTTTCTTGTCTTGGTATTTCAGATTATTTTCCTTTTTCAGGTGTCTGCTTTGGTGTTTATGCAAGTGCTTGTTGAGCCTTGGGTCTGTTTATGGACTGTTTAATGCATATTGCGTGCAAAAATGGCAAGAGTTAGCTGAAATCGTAAGCTCCAAACTAAAAACTAAATAACCCCACAGTAATATTGTGAAATATTATTACATTTAAAATAACTGATTTTCTATATGAATTTTAAAATGGAATTTATTCCTGTGCTGGTAAAGCTGAATTTCAAGCATCATTACTCTAGTCTTCAGTGTCACATGATTCTCCTTCAGAAATCATTCTAATATGCTGATTGACCACTCAAGAAACATTTCTTATTATCAATGTTGAAAACAGTTGTGCTGCTTCATATTTTTGTGGAAACCATGATACATTTTTCAGGATTCTTTAATGAATTGAAAGTCCAAAAGAACAGCATTTATTTGAAATGGAAATCTTTTTCACTTTTGATCATTTTAATGTGTCCTTGCTGAATAAGTGTTAATTTCTTAAAAAGAAAATACTGAACATAAACTTTGGTATGTGGCATGTTACTTATATGTACTATATGTGGGTGTACATATATAATTGATTAGATACCTGTCGAGGTGTGTGTATCTTCTGTCTCTTCACTGCCTCTGCTGGAGGGGTGGCGTCCAAATCCCACCGAGCACAACTTTTGTCTTCTGCTGCCGGAATGAGAACTGAGTCTAGTAACAAACCGCACACCTGACACACACACACAC